CTAACAAGAAGTCAAATCAACCATGCATGGTTCTCCAATGACCTATTTCCTCTTCTGAAATTCAACGTTCTAGTCATTCAGTACCTGAATATATGTTTTCTTTCCCTTGTTTGCTTCCTTCTCTATTCCCAGCATCACACCAGCCTTCAATGCTCAAGCAGCTTTCCTCATATTACTTTTCTTACATGAGGGCAGTGCTGTGTGTCTGAACTTACTCAATTTTTGTTGAGTAAGCCACACCAGTGACTACGATAAAACAGAGAGTATGTTCCTAACAGGGACAGATGGAATGGTGCCCTTTAGAGACATTCATATGGATTTAAGAACTTCCTTTTTCCTGGTCACTGGGTACAGTACTTCCAGCGGGCCTGTTGTTATTGAGCATTTATCCTGATTTGTTTGTGGGGAGGCTAGATGATGTTGCCTCAAAGCAAGTATTATCCCACACTTTCAAGTGCATTTTCCTATCACTTTCCTCACTGTGAAAAGCCCAGTCCTTTTGGGAAGTTGGTTTGTTATGCAAGACCTCCAAATTCACTGTCATTGTGAAACCTGAATTTGCCAGTATGTGACTGAATCCTACCCCAAAACAGAGACAGTCTGGAAGCATCCAGAATCCACAGTCGGTCTCCATCTTCAGGTGTTTACATTGCTGTAAAATTTAAATGTAATTATGCCTGGTTCATGCCAGTCTACACTAGAGTCGGCCTTTGTAATATTTTCCCTTCAAAGATTTCACACCAATGGCAGTTGCTTCACAATGAGATATTACTTAAACCCTCCTCCATTTCAGGTTTTGCTTAACTGAATCATATTGAAACTCAGGCACCACATATATTTCAAGCAGTTTAATAATAATAATAATAAAAATCCTTCACAATTGTGCTCATTTAAAGCTACCTGCAAAATGCAAACAGTTCCTGGGAAAAAAGACATTGTTGGAGAGGTGTGCTGGTGTGGACTTAGTGTCAGGAGGCAAACTTACATACTTAGAAATAAATAATAATGGGACTTACTTCAAAGCAATTATGGTTAAATTTCATTTTCAGTTAGGCCAAGCTTGCACAACTTGTCAAGCCAACCTGAGCACAGCTCACCAGACTTGTATTATGACGTGCCAGGTATCTGAACTCCCAAGCAAGCAACAAAAATGGGAGGTTTATTAAATCTTTTGCAGGCCACCATACTAAGGTTACCAGATTTTTTTCAATGGATCCGGGGACACTTTTCAACTTCAATTGATTTTGTATGGGGACTGATTTGTAAATCCGGGGATTGTCCCCGGGAAACAGGGATGTCTGGTAACCTTACACCATACATGGATTGTGTACAATTTATGCCAGCTTCAATCAGGCTATCAAGGTGGAAACTCCAACCAGGTTGCTTGGAAGCCATTTTTGTTTATAAGATGACCCAAATTGATGTGAATGTGTCTATTCTCATCTTTCTATCTATTAACCTGTATTTCCTTGTGAATACTGGAATGGAACCAGGAAGCAGAAAATGAGGTCAGACAGCAAGAACAATGTAATGGATTCTTGCCATTTTAATTGCTAATCCTTTCCTTGGAAGTTGCTGTTTCCATGTCATTGTTCTATTATCCTGTTATGACCCTCACATTACAGTCGAATTTGCCTTTGTCCTTTGATTCCTGTGCAAAGAGAATGGCAGCTGAGGTAATTTGAAACAGAATCTATTAGGCAAGCACACACAGGTACACATTAATAGGATTTCGTTTGAGAAACTATTTCCCCACTGTCTATAATTATCACCAACATAACAATCTTGGGCACTCTAGAAATAGACTAATGTTGTGGTTCCCAATGTGGGGCACACGCCCCTCAGGGAAGCAATTTGATTTTTAAGGGGGGCAATTCAAGAATGAGTTATTAACAGTCAATGGCTTTTTAGGATTCCTCCACGTGAACAGGAGTTCACTTTTTGAATAATAAGACTTATATGCCACGGGGGGTGGGGGTGGCATCAGGATTTTAGAGATGCTTAGGTGAGGCATGGCCAAGAAAAGGTTGGGAACCACTGAACTAATGCCACCATTGCCATACACAGCCCTTTCATTTTAAAAGAGTGTGCTTCTATGCCTTGCTGGTTTTTGTCTCCCTTGAAGGGCTTCTTGCAAACCTCTAGATCACTAAAACAATTAAAATATATATTTAGTCATCCTCCTTATTATCCAAATGGTCTTTGGATACTGAAATATAATTCAGATTCACGATTTTGATCATTCTTTCTTGTCAGTAACACAGCTCTGCTGCTATTCATAATATCAACACAAGTGCCATCCATTTTGATTGGTGTTCTGCACCACAAATAGCTTCACTCAACTTTCTTACCGGTCCCTCAGGTGGTGCAATGACTTTAACCAGGAAGTTGGTAGTTCAAGCCCACCCAGGGATAGCTGTGGGCAGGATTCCTGCTTTGCAGGGGGTTGGACTAGATGACCCTCAGGGTCCCTTCTAACTCGACAATTATGAAAAGCTGGAGGATTTTTTACATAAACTAAGAACCATTATCTGGACTGCATTTCTATTTGAACAGAAATGTCCTAGCCTGCAATGTTGTTTGTGTTCCATTTTAAGTCAGGTGGCATTTTCAAACATGGGGGTGCAATTCAGTTGAGTTAACTAGCTTTCCTTCACTTCAACCACAGATTCACAAGAATGCCCTTGGGTTAGGTATTTAAAGGGGGAGGGGGACATTGTCCAGTGCCAAAGAAATAAGACATGCGTTCTGACAGTAAGCATGACAGAGCTAATTCTTATCAATTACTGTTGCTTGATGGGCCTCATTATCACGTACACAAGAACCTAATCATTACTCAGGGACCAGTGATCATATAAATAAAAAATTACAAGAGGTGCTTAAAGCATGATTGCAATTATAAAAGTTGCTCAGCAAGACAATGCTTACTGACTCAGCAGATCTACCGCCTGTGAAAATCCAATCCCATATACTGAGGGGAAATATATGTTGCTTTTCTTCCAGTAACTTTACAATCAGCTTCCTGAGGGAGGCCAAGACATTTCCAAGGAGGGAAGCAGACTACACCTTAACCTTTTGCATCATATCCTGACAATACAGAGGTGAAGAGTACCAGACCCCACCTTCAAAATTAGTGCAATACAAGAGGTGTGCTCCCAATGCCAATCCCAGGTTGACTGTGGCAGCTAATTAGTCAGAAAACAAAACCTCCAATCTTCGCCATGGATCACAGGGTAAATTCATATCCTGCCCTGTCTCCAAATGGAAAGCAGCTATTTAGCAGTGCTTATAAAGATGGCTAGAGATGGGATCCTGAGGAGCCTAGTAGTGTATTTGCACCAGAAGCACTGCCAGGTTTGAGAGGGCTTCTGATGAGGCGCCTTTGAAGCAGGGTTGAGGATGGGGGCCTTGTTGACACACTTCTTTCTCTTGCTCGCCCACCTGCTGTTGACACTCTTCTCCCACACAGACCCAATGGCCACTGCCATGGGAGGAACATGTAGGTAAAGGAGCAAGGCTGCTTACCACAAACTAGGAAACAAAGCAATGTGCTGATAGCGGCTGAGGCTTCGTAGTCATCTGCCACAACTTTTAACTAACAATATTTCCCCCAAACAATGAGAACTTAGCCAATCAGACACTACCTTTGGGGTTGTGAGGCCACAGAGAGTACTGGGGCAAGGAGGGGTTGATCTAAGGTTGCTTGACCTGCTTCCTGCATGCTCCGCCCAAAGCTGGCATCTGGTTGGCTCCTCTCGTTGCCACTCTCATTGCCTTGGGGGTATGTATATTAAATTGGTGGTGTGCACACTTTGCTTTCTAGCATGCTGTCAGGGGACTGCCATCAAAAGGGGGGAGAGGGGCACAAGAATACAGGGAGCCTCCAACGTTCAGAAGTAGCTCTTCATCAGGCACTGGAGAGAACCATGCCTCCAGTGAAGCAGAGGGGGAAAGGAGGGGCGAGGTGAGGGAAAGGCTCACAGAGGCTACGGTGAGCGCAAGCGCTTCGCTTAGCCAGGCTGGTCAGGAAACAGACATGCCGCTTCCGTCACCCAGTTTGCGCACAGGGATGAAACGGAAGAAGGGGAGGCGGAGATTTGGGGTGTCTAAGTTCTTATGTTGGGGGAAAAACCGGAAGGGGCCACTCCCGGAATCTGCAAGTGACTGAGACAGACATGAACTTTGGGCTTCTGCACTGTACATAGTTTGCACTAAATAAAACCTGTAAAAGACAGGTCGGAGTCCTGGCTGTTTACTCGCGAGCAACCACCTACAAACCTGACACATGCTGTGGCTTGCCATCTTACCTACCACTGCCATTCCGGATTCATTGAGGGAGACTTTCAGCCTAGGCCCCAAAGCCCAATCCTAGTGGTGCCACTGGGAAGCACAAATTAACTTTTAAGAATCCACCTAGTCTAGTACTGCATCCTTTGATTACCTGTGCTCCTTTTGACTCTTGCAGATACCAAAGATTGAGCATGTGATCTTATACATGCAAAGCTGTACCAATGAGCTGCGGTCCATCTTCATATATAGCAGTAAAAAAAATGTGGTTTACAAAGTCATCAAGGCAGATTACAAGATATAGGCAACAGCCTTGTACTACTCATAACCCCTGGAACCGAACTGCCACATAAGATGAAAGATTCCTGTGCATCATTAAACTAGGCCATCTCGTTTGGAAAATTAACAACAGGGTATTTAAAAGGATATCTATAGTTTCTATTAACTCATTAAAGTCTTACACAAAAAGCCAATAAGCAAAAGATTCATATCAGTGTTCATTCTGCAGACATCATCCTGCTCTATGGGAACAAACTGAACTGACATAAAAAAGGCCAGCAGGATATTTTGAGTTATAATTTTCTTACCATGAGCCACAGAAGAAGTAGACATACAGTGTGCTAATGAGTCATTTTACCTGGAAAGTCCGGGCTGATGGTGTGATGGCTTGGCTGGTGGTAATTTTGAGAAGTTCAGGTCCCTGAAACAATCCATTATCTGCTGTTTCTGAAAATAGCCAAGAGGAACATTTAAATAAGCATAGTATAGACTAAATTTTGAGGAAATTTATTGGGGAAAACTACAGGTGTTAACGCATTTAGCTTCATATAGAAAACAATTTAACATATTTTCAGATAATCATACAAGTTTATTTTACCTGTGGAATTCCATTCCAGGGGACTTACATTTAGCTCCATCTCTATCTATACAAGGAAGGAAGAGGCACTCATATCAAAAAGGTAAAAAGAACCATCTCTTTGTATCAGTAGGTCATTTTCTGGTTTAAAAAATATCCAGAGGTAGAAATGAGAGCTGTCTAGAAATTAGTCCACAAAATTCAGTCATTGTCAACTTTTCCATGAGGCACAGCTGATGCTTTCTGAGAGCACAGTCCAAATCATAGAAATGTCATAATTAAGTTAGAGCATCAGATTATTGTGGAAAAAAAGCATATGCAAGTGATTTCGCACAATTTGTGACCCACTGGGCAAACAGCCTATCAGCCATGCATACAAGCTCATGAGCGACCTGTTAAATTGGCCTGTGTAGTCCTTACAAAATTTAGGATGGGGAGAGTCAGGCACCAGAATGGCCACAATACTTGCCTTGCAGACTTCATTCATCTGTTGACGAGTCACAAGACCTACAGACATAATGTAAGGCATTCAGGGAATGGAGAGGGAAATTTTTCCACTCTGGAATTTTCTCAGTTTCTCCCAACAGATCCAAGGTACTTCTATCATGTGTTACCTCAGTCTCTATGCCAAATGTTTGAAATTCTGTAGAAACTTGTGCAGATTTTGCAGAATTTATTGCTGTGAAATGGATGATATGATGCATCTCACCTGAATAGCACTTTCAGTCAAACTAAGCCTGTCCATGCCACAGTAGAAATGTATAGAAGCTATTTATTATTGTTATTTGTTTGCTTTATATCCTGTTTTTCATCCCAAAGCAATCCAGGGTGGCAAGCATATTAACAGAAATATCATTTTAAAAAATCATTAAAACTGTTAAAAACAATTTCATTCTCTCAGTCAATGATTTCAGGGTTGCCACAAACAGTATAGTTCAGCTACCAAATGACTGGACAAAGAGGAATGGAGACAAAGAGGAATGGAGAAAGATATACCTCACCAGGAAGAGCATTCCACAAATGGGGAACCACCTCCGAGATGGCCTGTCAGATCAACAACAACCAGGCAGCCCCCATGGGTGCATCACCAACAAGCCTCACCTACCAACCAACTACACAAATGTAGATCAACATGAAGCTAGATGAACATGCAAACAGTTCTGAGAACTGCGTAGAAGTGAAGTATTATGAAATAAGTAGATAAGATATAGAGATGGATTCGTACCTTATCCTAGTGTGTTATGGAGACCTTAATGAGCCAGCAGTTCCTGACTCTTCATGGAACTACACTGAGGCAGAAAATGTATGTAGCAATGGTTTAACATGGAGAAACAGCAACCTTTCACGGAGAGGGCTGGGCTGCAAAGAGCACCTTCAGAGAGCACAGCTCCCAGGGGATATTTTTTGTGGGGGAAAGGTGCAAAGGGAGTAGGGAAGAGGTAAAAGGTAAAAAGGTAAAGGACTGCTGGACGGTTAAGTCCAGTCAAAGGCGACTGGGGTTGCGGCACTCATCTCGCTTTCACACCAAGGGAGCCAACATTTGTCCACAGACGGCTTTCTGGGTCATGTGGCCAGCATGACTAACCTGCTTCTGGTGCAACGGGACACCGTGACAGAAACCAGAGCGCACGGAAATGCCATTTACCTTCCCGCTGCAGTGGTACCTATTCATCTACTTGCACTGGGGTGCTTTTGAACTGCTAGGTTGCCAGGAGCTGGGACAGAGCAATGGGAGCTCACCCCGTCACAGGGATTCAAATCGCTGATCATAGATCGGCAAGCCCAAGAAGCTCAGAGGTTTAGACCACAGCATCACCCACATCCCTCTCATGCACTCCAGGATCACTGATCACAACTGACACACACACACATATGCATACACAGCTGCTTTTTCTAAGCACGTCAGTTAAAAGCTCTTTTAATATAACCTGCAGTTTGGTCCTTTGTAAACATAGAAAGTTTTGTAGCTCAGGGAGCAGAAATCTGTTCAGGTTCTGTGGGAAATAGGTCTAGTTTTAATAAATGTTGTAAACTGTGCTGTGAGTTAGTAATGAAATGGGTGTATAAACAAAGTGGTGTAATGTGCACTGATATGACACTTGAGGGATATGGAAATTAAATCCATGCCCAGTGCGAGAAGCAGGAAAAGCTAGTAACAGGAAGCAGCATCATGGAGTTACTTAATCTTAAAGTAGTATAACAATGCCCCTTTCTTCCTTTTCGGTGACTCTTTTGCCCTGAGGTAAAAGTAAGAATCATGAAAGTACTTGTTTACATGAGGGAGATAGAAACATCTACCGCAGAAAGCTATGGCTCAATCATCTAATATTTTCCTTGTGATGAATTCCCATGTTAAGCAATAATCTACAGCTACAGTTCTGCATTGGGCCGGAACATTTCCCATATGGAGGAAATGAAGTTGGATATTATGCCACCGATGAACCTACTTGCCTGATACCTGTAAAGCAAGACCAAATAATTCAGTTTTATTACGGCTTCTGGTTTTGCAGCCCTAAAAACCAACAACAATCTTATGACAATTTTGGGGGAAATTGTTTAAAATATTGACAATGATTCCACTTCACAGATATTCACTGGATCTTATTATGAGTAAGTCTGCTTGGGATTTTGACTTCCCTCACATGAACCACTTCCTTGAACATTTGCTTGTCATAAGGAAAAAGAGGTCACTCCTCTCTTCTTATATTCTCTACTCAGAGCCATCCTAAGACTTGCATTAAATTTACTTCAGGGATGACAATGCTTCACATCTGATAGATAGGCATGACATGTAAGTACATTAATCAAATCTATATACTACAGTACTTTATATGCCTTGTTTTAAGTGGACTTTGCACTTGCTTCAGATTTTAAAGATACTCATGAGGGTAGAAGAAAAAGAAATGACTTTTCTTTGTTATCTTTTTCTGTCCCCCTCTCAGAGATCTTAAATTTGATGAAATTATAAGGGACAGTTATATATGCATTTACATGCACTTACTTTCTCATATTTCTGGTTTATCAAAGTTAAATTCCTGACAGGTATTGGCTCTCTGTTGAAATTTGTGACAAAACATAACAAGTGAGAGGAGGTAAAACTGTCTTCTCACTGAAACAAAGTGAGTTACATGAGATGTTTCCCTCACAGAAAATACTTGAGATGCACTAAGCGCATTGCAGGTTCTCACACAAGATGCAGCACTGTGATTTTATGCTTCTTTTTAATCCAAGTGTGTTCAAACAAAATGCTCTTCTTGGTATGGAAAACTGCTCAGGTGGATATATGCATGTACCTTGAGGACTTCCAGTAGGGGAATGCATGAACTTCCATTATAGAACATTTTGTGCTTGAAGCAATAAGAAAAACAGTACGTGCACTTTTGGGACTGAAATGCTATGAGTGTGCCAACAGCATGCAGCTCTACCTCTCATTTACATAAACTGAGCCTGGTGAGGTGCTGAAAAGTCTGAACAGGTGTCTGGAACCAGTTGCTATGGGCAATTTACCCGACACTTAATCCAGACGAACCAAACCTGCTTTTGGTTAGGCTCTGTAGACCTTGGAGACAGTGTACAATCAGGTCCTATGCTGAGTTTCACTTCCGCTTGAAGAATCAAGTGGCTTGAGGGTGCTCTTGGACTCAGTATTGCCCCTTGCTATTAAGTGGCCAGGAGCACGTTTTACCAGCTTGGCCAACTGTCACCATACCTGGAGATATCTCCCTCCTCCTGCCAGTTAGTTGTGCAGCAATTACTTCCAGTCTGAATTACTGCAATGCTCTTCACACACAGTAGGCTTTAAAGACACTTTGGAAACCATAATTGGTACAAAATGCAGTTTCAAGAATGTTGTTGGATGGCAGCTAGGTTTTCCATAAGGGCTATGCCTGGAACAGCAACATATGAATACCTGAAATGGGCACTACACTGATTTGATACCATCTGCAATGCTTTAGCTGTTCACTCCCAAGCTCACTATAAAATGCTGGTGTTGATTTTTAAAGTCCTATACAGCAGGCTTCCTCAAACTCGGCCCTCCAGATGTTTTGAGACTACAATTCCCAGCATCCCTGACCACTGGTCCTGCTAGCTAGGGATCATGGGAGTTGTAGGCCAAAAAAATTTGGAGGGCCGAAGTTGAGGAAGCCTGCTATACAGCTTAATTCCAAGTCTGTCTGTTACCTGTAGAAACCCTGAGATTTTCTTCTGTGGCAGTGCTGTCAGATGGGCAGCATATAACTAAATAAATAAATAAATATTATTATTATAATTATTTATTGACCTCTCTGTTCACGTACCCTTAGGCAATTTTAAAAAACTTATTTGTTGTAACAGAAGGTTACAATAGCATACATTGCAGAGATAATCATTTTTGATTGCCTTTTTGCTCTTTATATTGCTGCTAATTATTATAGATTGCTGTTGCTATTTTCTATTTGTTATTTTTTTAAAAAAAACCATACCCTCATTTGTTTGTTTTTGTTTTTCTAGCTGCTTTGTTTCCACATTTAGAGAAGTAGGATAAAAAAAATGGGATAAGTTATAAGCATTCATGTATGAGCTCACCCAGTATCTTGAGTCATGCAGTAATGGTTGGGAATAGGCCTGATGGGATTTAGTAATTAACTTTTATCTAATTAAAGCAGAGACCTGATCAGATAGTTATTCTGGGTGGCTATTCAGTGTGGCTTGCACTTAGTTACTATAAGGTAAAACAGTAAGTGTTCAGATACGAAAAATACACCCCTCACAACAATATTAAACATATTGTTTAATACGGTATGTTTAAGATTGATATTCAGTGGTACTTTTCTCCCATCCTCTGATCATTTTGGTGAAAATTCATAATACACAATTATTTCTCCAAATCTAGGAGGCAATACCTCCAGTTTTGTGAAATACAGATTTTGTTTAGAGACATAGTCTCAATTAACCACCATCACTAAATATAATTCCACCAACACGTGAGTTGTTGATCACTTCACCACAACATGCTGGAAATCACTGCAGCACATATCATTGGAGTTTCTATTGGTTCTGTGTAAATGTTACTTCACTCGTTTCCTTTATTCTTAAGAGTTGTTGGTTTCAAAGGAAAAGTATTTATTTTCTGGTATTGTTCGCTACTCAGTTTGAGCTGAAGCTATGATAAGAAAAGCCCCAGGGATTACAAATTCAAGTCAAAACAGGGCTCTGTATGTGTGCTGTACCAAGAATTAATTCTTCACTACAGCAACAGAAGGTATTTTACTCTTAACAGTGCAGTCTTCATTTACTCAGAAGTAAGTACCACCGCCTGCAGTGGAGCTTACACCCTAGTAAGCGCATTTATCAAATTTTGTATTAATCACACATTAATGGTTATTAAGTGTGAAAGGAAACAGGACATGAGTAAAATAAATATTGGCAGGCATATGGGGCAGGGAATAAAAAAATCTCCATATTTTTTTTGGGAACCCCAGGATAAGAAACATCTACCCTATTCCCAGTTCCAAACTGCCAATTGCTTTTATTCCTCCCCTGTTTCTTTTATATTCACTTTTTCCTGCCCTCTTTTTCCAGGACATGTCCTCTTTTTCATGGGTATGTAAAATGAGAGTCGTCATAGTGATCCATAGTTAAAAATAAAAGCCGGCAAATGTGTCCTGCTTTTTGCTCTTCAAAATATGGCAATCCTTCGACAGCTTCCTTCCCCAGTGTCCTTCCTCTCTATTCCCAATTGACTGCTAATAGCAACTTATAAAATTTTCCCCACTTTCTAATTTCCATGAAAATTCTCTCTAGCCTTCCCACCCCCCACACCAAGCTCCTTAATGATAAGAAAGTTGGACAAGCGTGAGCACAGTGGTGGCTGATGCCCATTAGGACTGGTAGGTCGGGAGGCAGGGAAATTGACAGGAGGAGGAACCAAAGCCAGTAACAGGCAGAGCCAACTAGTTCTAGTTTTATTGCCCTGCTTCCCCCTGCTGAGTTCTACAAGCACAACGCTGAGGCTACGGAGGAGGACGTTGACAGGCAGAGGAGCCCCTTGACTGGTCATAAGTAAGAAGATCAGCAGGTGGGAGATGGCTAAGGGTAGTCTCAGATTGGTGTGGCAGTGCCCCCATTCACTCTAATGGGCCAGCATCCACTGTGGAGGGAGGGAGAGGAAGAGGGAGAGAAGCAGAGGGGTCAGGAGGCCCAACAGGCCCAGCATGGTGGGATTCTCCACTTCTTTCCCTCAGCCCATTCATCCCTTCTACCTCCTTCTCTTCATTCAATTCTTTTTTTAAAAAAAATAAATGTATTAAATGTGTAAGTTGCTTTATCTTGCCCAAGGCAACCCAAAGCAACTTACAAACAAACAAACAAACAAAAACCCATGTAGATACCTTATTTATTTCTCTTCCTTCCCTCACACATGGCTGGTGTATCCTCTCTTTCCTTCTATTCCCCCAAACTTTCTTTTCCTCCTCTGCAGTTTTGCATGCTACAGCCTCACTCTTGACTTTCTCCCACCCCCTTGCATGCCTGTTTAGGGAAGTTTTTAAGGTTTGATGTTTTGTCGTGTTTTTAATACGATTGTGAGCCACTCAGAGTGGCTGGGGAAACCCAGCCAAATGGATGGGGTATAAATAAATTATTATTATTATATTATCATTATCATTATTATTATGCACTGCATATGTGGAGAGCTGGTAAGCCGTTTAAGTGTGCAGCGCAATGAGCTGCTGTAAACAAGCAGTAAACAATACCAGGGTGGAGTCTTCTAAAGGGAATGCAAGGCTGTGCACATTCAAAACACATTTTCTCCTTTCAAAGAATTCTGGGCATTGTAGTTTGTTAGGGATTCCTGGCAATGGAAGCTCTGTGAAGATGCATTGTATGCTTTAAAGGTGAACACAACTTAAAAGGAGCTGACAAGCCCAGACTAGGTGCTGGTCCACTAGTAATCAACATGACTTGCTCAACATTATTATGCTGGATTTATGTTGGTCTTTTGCTGGTTGTTCTATATAGTGTGAACCACTCTGAGAAGAATTTTTTTAATGTTTAAAAGCAGTGTACATATATTATTTTTTTTAAAAAAAACCAAACAAATAGCTCTCCAGTTTTTATAACAGATTGTATCGCCTCACCATCACCTGCTATAATTTTACTGTGCAGGCTAAAAAAACCCCAAAGAGTGAATTGTAGAAGAGGACCCTGTAGCTCAGCGGCAGAGCACATGTCTTGCTTGAGGAAAGTTCCAGGTTCAACCCCCAGCATCTGCAGGTAGGGCTGGGAAAGACACTGTCAGAAAAACTGGAGAGCCATTGTCCACCAGTCTACTGAGTTAGATGGACCAATGGTCTGTCTTGCTCTAAGGCAGTTCCTGTGTTCCTTGAGAAGGGCTAAAATGCCTCACACCCAAATTCATCCCTTGCCTCCCACGGCCACAAGCTGTGAAACATTTCGGTTATTTTGAGTTGGAATCCAAAGGACCAAGTTTCCACCTCAGGGGCACCAAGTGTTCACATGTCCCACAGCACAGTGGCATAGCGTGGGGGGTGCAGGGGGGGCCGGCCGCACCGGGCGCAACATCTGGGGGTTAGGGTTAGGGGGCGCAAATCCACGGGTTAGGGGGCGCAAATTACTTGCCTTGCCCCGGGTGCTGACAACCCACACTACGCCACTGCCACAGCAGGCGGTGCTGCTGTTCCTTCCTATATAGAAGAACTCAGAGTGAGGGAAGGAAGCATTTCTCCTTGCTCTTTTGCTTATATTGACATGGCTTCAAGATAATGCTTCAGAGACAGGGCAGAAGAAGGTAAGTTGGAGGGTAGTGGTGGGGAAACAACACTTCTTGCTCAGCTCTAGGTAATTGAAATGTAATTATGCCTGTCTGGCTGTAAGCAATTACATATTTGCAACTAAAACATGCTCTTACAAGCTCTATGCAGAAAATTCAGTTCCATTCCCCCTCTTTCCACCAGCACAACAGACTTCCTGGTTATTGTAATGATGGTGAATTCAGTTTTGATGTCTCGCCAGAGAATCTAGCTTTAGTTAGCACAGAGTCTGTGTAGCCTAGCAATCTGTCTAAAACGCTCAGGAATATTGTGAGAAGCATGTGGGATTGGCACCACTCTTGTTACGCTGGTGTAATATTCAAGATCTCCACATGATAAGGCAGCTTGGAGAAGGAACTGTGGCTCCTCCGTCTTAATTATGCTGAATGGGATTGGGATCGTTCAACAGAACAAGAATTAAAATCCTGTGGCTGTTTGTGGCACCTTGAGAGCGTTCCTGATTTTCACAAACTGTATTCTACTTTTCAGCAAGAGAAAGCATTGAGAGGATTTGCACCACAATACATAATTGATTCCTGACCAAAGATAAGACAATTATCTCCATCCTTACAAAAGTCTAGGTAAGTGTTACTAAAATAGTAAGACGTGGATACTATTTTTTACTAAAATAGTATCTCATTTGAGATGCTATGCTTTTCAATGTTCTTTTATTTATTCTGCAACTAAATGCCTGGACCCGGCTTTTTGGCTGACAAATTTGTGCAGTATCTTTGTACATAACAACGTACACAAATAGATGGATTGTGTGAGAAATGCCTTCTGCACGTATTCACTCTGTTCTCTCTCTCTCTCACTTCCTTACATCATCCTGGCCCCAACCCCACCCCTTCCCTGTTGTAACCCCAAACCCCACTTCTCCTTCCACATTCCTAACCCCCAGCCCCATTCTACCCTCCTTTCTAACCACCAACTCTGCAATCTCGGATGAACGCACTCTGTCCAGCCCTCCAAATCTTCCAACTCTCTCTTCTCCAGGTCTATATCTCTCTTCCACCTTCCCCAGCAAGTGTACACCGTTGTGGCAAGTCTTCACTACTGCTAGTGCAATGCCATGGATGAGTAGAAGATTTATGGCAGGAGAAGGTCTGGAGTGAGGCAGCTTCTAGTTTTATATTCTCTTGACAGGATGAGGGGTTTATTCTTGCTACAGCTTATTACAGCTACGGGGGAAATGTATACAGTATTGCCCATATTGAGGCCAGCCTACCCAGACATAGAGTAGGAAGGGACTCAGAGGATCATCTAGTCCAACCCGCTGCAGTGCAGGAGGACTGTGCAGCTGCCCCTTATGGGGATCGAACCTGCAACCTTGGCATTCTCAGCACCACGCTCCAACCAACTGAGCTATCCATGTAGAATGTTGCTGTGCCTTTTAATTTGTTTTTAGTTCATCGCTGCTGTTATTATTGTTTTTGAATGTTTTAAAGAGTTGTTTCTAAATTTTTAAACAAGTCATGTTATTTTTTACTCTCTGTAAACCACTTTGAGAACTTTTTTTAAAAAAACAATCAAGCGGTGTATAAATTTTAAGAAATAAATAAGTAAAATATCTGCCATTCCATGGTAGCTAGTCCTTTAGGGCAAATGAGGTACTGCCCAACCAAACTCTGCCTTCCTCCACTTGCCTCTCTTCATACTTACAGCCAGTCCAGGGCAGCGGCTTCCTCTTCCTTAGCAGGGACAGGGATGGATGCAAAACTAGAATTAGTTCCACCTGAGACTGGCTCTGACTCCTCCTTCTGTCGGCCTCCTTGCCTGCCATTCCCGATGTTCATGCACCAGCCACCGCTGCTGCTGTTGCAATTCTATGACTGTTACTGTGAAATATCCCTAAAATGGAAATCTCACTCCTTCGACACATGGTTCACAGGGACCATTTGAATATTAATGGGTGCTGGGATTCCAGGTGGACCAGTCACAAGCTTTGTGGTAGAGTAAACAGTGCCATTAAAGCATAATAATGCAAAAGGAGGAGGAGGAAGGTGAGTTGCCAGGAATAGCAGGCCTGAATCATCCAGGATGTTCCTGTAGCTTCACATGGCCAATGATAGCTCACCTTAGGACTCCACACAAAAAAGAATTAAAAAAGGTGCATGGAAGGAAATGCCTTGCTGTCCACAGTCAAAAGCCAGCTCCAAAAGGGATTGAGGAGAACAGATGATATAAAGCAGCTGCTACAGACCAGAGGGGAAGGCATTGAATATATGGAATAGGTTAATATGGCTCAGTGGAAGAAGCTTAGCTGGAGCTGCAGTTTGACTTGTGTTTGACGGCTCTTGCTGTCATCCAAAGGGAACTCATGGCTGATATTACTGTAAGTCCAATTTAATAATAATAATAATAATTATATCTTTTATGGGAACTGTACATTGTTTCCATGCTAAATCTGTGATATATATATATATATATATATATATATATATATATATATATATGAATGATAGGTTTCTGTAGTTTGAAAACCTGCATGTTAGTTCTGAGTTATCAGTGCATATGGATCCACACTTAGCACAAATGGGGATATTTCATAATTAATTTGGATGGTGTTAGATAAAAGGATGAGTAGAGGATTGGGATATTCCTTGTATCTGAAAAGCAGGTGGTGATGAGAAATAAATATACCTTGGGTTGTTAGGAAAATTTCTTTATTAAAAAATAGCGAGAGAAGGTTAAGTGGGTGCTAAGGGACAAAGAAGGAAGCAGCTCATTCAACACATTTCAATATGGAACACTGGCATTGTAGAAAATAGCGGAATTTCTGCTTATGAATCAAAGATACCGCATCGGATTGATTTTCTGCTTTATTTTCTTTCTGATGTCATAGGGCACAGACAAATAATTATCATAAATCTATTATTGTGTTAGATACTGGACACAAAGGACAGAGGCAAACTGAAGTAATCTAATGGTTTTCAGCTGGTAGCAGCAGTTTGACAAGTGAATGGGATCCATGTTATTTTCATTATAGTTGCCACAGAAATAAAGCTGTATCTGCAGTTCAGCTCATTAAGGAAGTCTTTGAGAAAGAATGGTCTGCGAATAGTTGCTGCGCTTGTTTGATGCAATCGAGAAGAGTTCTAATGTCAGCCATGAGACTGAATGTTCTTTCCCCCCCCCCTCTCCTTTTGCAGCCTGAGGTGGATAATAAAATGAATATCGACCCAACTGAAGTAAGGTATGTGATGAAGAAGTTGGTTTATACCTATATCACAGAAAGGAACAAAAGAGGGTGCTGTAACTACACAAACCCATATGTTCAAGAACAGGAGGAGATTGCTGCTTCTCTGTTCATCCTGATTGTTGTTGGGTTTTTTGGCTTCCTCCTGTTTTCTATGATGCTCAGCAATATTGTACACAGGCCACGGGAAAATTACATGGACTATATGTACCGCGAGAACGTTCAGGGAAATGCGAAAAGACCTTCCTGCAAAACCACACTGCCAGCGGCGGTTGCTCAGAAGGTCAAACCTGAACCCAGCCCTCAGAGCCAAAAGACTGACAGCTGTACAATAGCAACTGAGCTTCCAAGTGCAAAATCGGTGGTGAAGATCGTATGAAAGTGGACCTCATATGCAGCACGATAGCTTCTTTTTAACCACTGGTGATTCTGTTACTCACTGAAGCGTGGGACTAATCGAGCCTCTTCTTATACGAGCTTCTTGCTCACAGTGGACATGTCTGTTCCTGAGTGACACAACAGCTTTCCGGCTCAGGCCCTGAACCTTCAGATGAGGCACGGGAAATCAAGCTCAGACTTGTACGGCTCCTTTTATATTCCTTTTTGGCATGTCTCTCACAGAAGAAGAAAACCATATCCTTCCTCACGCTATTCATCATGCCATTATGAAGGCATTTGTTCTTCTAGCTGTGGCCTGTGGGCACCCTTCATTTTTTGCCCTTGGCATTAAGATCCGTGGATTATTTATTTTTTTAATGTATAATGTGGATAATGTGTAAAAAATAAAATAAAAAAGTTTGCCCTAGCATGAGGTCTCCCATCTCACAGAACGCAGCAATACCTAGAATCAGATTAAACTAAGGCCCATGTCAATTTGAGAGCAGAACCAAGGGCCCGTCCACAATTCTTCTTGTCCTGGTGAATTCCACCGGAAAAACCCGCTCTTTACTGCTGAATTGGACCAGACAGCATTTGGGCTTTCTGCAGATTGATGTTTGCTTTAGTTCAGCAGTAAAGAGCTGGTTTTCCTGGGGAAAGTGGCAGGGTAAATGGAAAACCGCTCAGAAGCACAGCACAAGTGGAAGTGTGGACAAGCCCTAAACTCTACCCGGAACACGGACTAGTCTCCTGTTCCCAGTTCCTATTATTGACTGCTGGGGGCAAGGCAGAGGAGGGAATTAACATCTGTGATACGAAGTCAGGAGGTGAGTAAAATGGTACTTGATAAGTAAAGTGGTACCCCTCTCCCCACAAGACACAAAAAGAGCGAAAGTGTGCAGGCACACCATTTGTTTTTCCGAGGGATCAGGTAAAAGTAAGAGCTTGTAGAATTAATCTGGGCCTTGAAAAAACACATGGAGCTGAAAAGGGAAGTGGGAAAGAGCCTCACACTTCCAACTTCGTCTTTCAGCTCTATATGCTTTTCAAGGGGGGAAAGGGTAATAACACCTTCACCTTCTCATGATCAAAGCAGTGGAAAATATCATGAAGTGCTTGCTATGTCAATTGAATGACAATGATTTCCCTTAGTACTTCTGGGAAAAGCCTTTATGTTAATTTCGATATGACCACCATCTCCTTCATATTATTTCATTCAAAAGCACAGCCTTTTTCTAGTAGTCAAAGGCAGGCTACATATAAAATATCTACTTTGACCTAAACGCTATGGTATGTAGTTGTGGGTTATACTTATTTGTGGGAGTCGCGTGGGATCACATCATCCACCTAGTTGTTTTGAAGAGGGCCAGGTGTACATCCAGTTCACCTAATCCCTGAAATACGTATGTCTTGCCACCACTCCCAGCATCTAACTTTTACACTCTGCACAACTAGAGTATTTGGAGGACGATGGTGGGGATAACTCAGTGGCAGAGAATCTGCTTCGCATACAGAAGGTCCCTAGTTAATTTCCTAGCATCTCCAGGTAGGGCCAGAACTCAGTGGGACTTACTATCGAGTAGACATGTACACACTAATCTGCCTTAAAACGCTGTGATGATTTATACTTACTCAAAAGCATTGTATTTAAGTAGGTGTGGGAACTAAGTTCCTTATCTAAAACAGAGATCTCTGGAGCAATCAAATGCCTAGAAGACAAATTACTAAATCAATTCCTCCTCCTTTGGAACATAGTGTTTTTATGTCACCCCAATCTCAGAGCAGCACAGGTTCCAGGGGCTTATCCAAGGGTTCATGTTTCCTTTTGGCACATCAGAGACTGTGGTACAGGGGTCAGCAAACTTTTTCAGCAGGGGGTCGGTCCCTCAGACCTTGGGGGGGTGGACTATATTTGGGGGGGGGGGGATGATGCAAGAGCACCACAAGCCCTGGTGGCTGCTTACCTGTGTCTTGCGAGGACAGGGGCTGGTGGCGGCGGTGGAGGGACGATGAGCGGCGCGCGAAAAGTCTCCAGAGAGGGGCTGCTTAAAATGGCGGCCGCTCGAGCACTGCTGCTGCTGGCACCAACAAAGCCCAGCCCCCTTCCTCCTCTAGGCAGGGCAGGGAGAAGCCAGGAAGGAGGGAGGGAGGAGCCGCCACCGCTGTGTGAGGGAGAGGGAAGGAGAGGGAAAGAACGCTCGTGCTGGCGATCCACGTGGCAATTCCCGGAACGTCCATGGGCCGGATCCAGAAGGCAATTGGGCCTGATCCAGCCCACTGGCCTTAGTTTGCCGACCCATGCTGTGGTATATTTAGGATACATGGTTTATTTACACATATATACACTCTGAGCCTACAATGAACGGCTACACAGCATCAATAGCCAAAAAGGGTCTTGTGTGTCCTGTAGCCGCAGCCTTGGATTCAAACAGAACATTAGTCTCAAATGTTGCTCTGAGTCTCCTACTTCTCACATTACTTCTAGGTCACATTACTCCTAACTCCTAACTCTCTACCCTATGCTCTGGCTTTATCCAGTGCGTGAGAGAGGCTCCTCCCAATTATCATCTCACACCATGTTCTTTGATCCTTTATTGTCTTAATGGCCCATTACTCAGGCTATCACTTCAGGGAAAACTAGTCTGTCTTAATTATCTTTTAAGTCTTCCAGGGATTAGAAGTATGAGGCACACAATTTAGCACTCCAAGCCTTAATTAAATTGTAACACTTTTTGGGTCCAGAGATTATAGTGATCTGGCACCCAAAAACTCATAACCCTAGTATCTCCCAGTTTCCACCTCTTCAATACTCTATTAGTCCATATCCTTTGCAAAAAATAAACAAACAAAACATTGCAAATCCTTTCTGCCACCCAAGAATCTTCACTGGCCTTATTAAGATCAGTACCAGTATCACTACGTCAATACATTAACAAGATTGCTAAATGTCACAGGAGGCATCATCTGTGACAATAGCCATTTACAGACATTCGGGGTGTGTGGGATGTGTGAGTAGGCTGACTGTGGAGAGGGGAGCAGGGCTGTGCCCTCTGCCTCACCCCTAACCTTTGCCCAGATTGGCTCTGTGGACAAATATAGTCTTTGTACAGGCAACTGGCAGCAGATGGCATCTGTACAGAGAAAGCCTAAACACATACAACCCATGCACATTTTAATATGTGCCACCTGAATCTTACAATCACATCACATTCATAAAATAATTCCATAATGTTGGAATAATCTATCCATGTCTCAGCTGGAGGAAAAAATGATTAAAGGGGTTGATTTCTCACATTACCTGTTTTAACTTTAATTGTTCATATTACTCTGATCCCGGTACTTTTCCAATAGGGATCAGTGAACAGCAAATGCACAACTCACACTTAGGCTTGGTTGCCTATAGCAGGCTGCATTTTTTTAATTTCCAGGCTTATGGAATGCTCCATATTTTGATAAACATTTTCTACTGTGGGAAGGTATACAGTCACTTCAGTAATAAGTCTCACATAACTTGGCTAGGAATGAGCCAGCCAGCTAGCCAGACAAATGGGGCAGAGCTAAGTAAATCAAATCAGGACCTTCAGTTTCTGAAGATCCAAACAGAGATGAAAGATTCTCAAACTATCTGACATAGTGGACCAACAATCGTTTTTCCCAGTGTGCCAGAGACTGGTATCACATTCAGCCCCTGTAGCATCCCACACTGGGCTGTGGTGGAGTCGCCACGGACCAGCAACTGATGGCTCATGTGGACTGGCACAGGTCCATGGACCACAAGTTTGAGTAGCACTGATCTATGCAATTTGTAATGCTTTCGCTGCTGTTCATTTCATTGCTGTTGTTTCCAAGGATCCGTGTGACATATTTGTTTTTAGGTCGTTACAGTGGTACCTTGGGTTACATACGCTTCAGGTTACAGACTCCACTAACCCAGAAATATTACCTCGGGTTAAGAACATTGCTTCAGGATGAGAACAGAAATCGTGCTCTGGCGGCACGGCAGCAGTGGGAGGCCCCATTAGCTAAAGTGGTGCTTCAGGTTAAGAACAGTTTCAGGTTAAGAACGGACCTCTGGAACGAATTAAGTACGTAACCAGAGGTACCACTGTATTTCAGTTTATTTCTCTCATTATCCTCCCTTTTTTCGCTACTGTAAAAAAACCAGAAGTGTTGAGCGAAACTGCCCCAATGTGGATGTTTGTTTGGTTTTTTTGCACAAAATTCCTCATTTAGTGGTGGGGTGGGTGGGTGATTTATGATGTTTTCTGTAAATTATTCTTAGTGCCTTTTCCCCTTGACCATCTTTTTTTGATAAGAGACAATGGCCGATATTGAAGGAAACAGCAGTGGCTGGTCAAACCAGCAGTGGTTAATTTTGAAAACGAAAGAAGCAGCTCTTTAGTTATGCGATAAACACTGTGTTCACTGTTAATAAAAACAATTCGGGTTTTTTTTTACAATTGCATGACAATTGTTTTTCTCCATGGTTTACCCAGCTAAAATGTGAATGCATCATTCAGGCTGTGTTTTTTTTAGGATGCTATTGAATAACACATGCAATGAAATCCATTGTGAGATCATCATTGTCCTGGACACCATCAGAACTTTGTGTGCACTTCAATTTCACCTGAAGGTACAAGATGTTTCGCATTGTAAACCCACTTTTAAAGCACATCATCCACCGGACTTCTCTCGATGCTAGTACAAGGAAACAATGCCTGCAATATTTGAAAACCCTAAGAGCGTTGCAACTTACAGGCTACAACACCATCTTTTTAGGAGAAACTGATCTTTCAGAAAGTCTAATAACAGGGGAAAAGGTTCCTCATGAAGATGACCTCAACTGGCCTATATGGACAGTCGTACACGCCGGCAACAGTCAAGGGTGGGTACCATGGAGATACAGAGTGTTTCTAAGGGATGACTTGCCCCTAGACAAGCCAGAAGATGTCTTTCAGGAACTCTGTGACTTCCTGTCGATAACCTATGGGAAGTGTGCCATTGTGGTCAAAGAAAAAAGACAGCCGAGAGTGAAAATTGATGAGTCCACTCAGGAGGTGGAGATAAGCGAACCGCAGTTTACACCTCTCCCTTTTTTCTCAAGCATCAAGTGCTGTCCTGAGGTCGCCAAGGCCACAGGCCATGAACTTCTCTCAGTGCCTTTCCCCTACAACCACCTCCACCCTATGGATGCCGCCTGGTCCTCTTTGAAATGGTTTATTATCAACAACAGAAAGGAGTTCTCTCTGATGACTTTGGAGAAGACCTATTCATACCAATGCATCCTCTTCAGTGATCTGCTTGGGAAAGGAATCGAGAAGATGAGCCCAAACAAGTGGAAGATAGCAGTAAACAAAGTGCGCAGATGGGAAAACTACTACTTGGATAAGTTTACTTAAACTTTCTTCCATCCATATTTTTTAAAAATGATTGAAAATTGGCCAGCTGATTTGCTAAATGTGCACATCGATTCTCCTTCTGAGTTATAATTCTAAATCGACAGTAGCAATGGTGAATAAAAGCAAGAGTTTTAAGGCGACAATAAGCAATATGGTGCTGGGTTTACAGGTGTCATTCAAATAGAGATTTCATTCAATCTAGGTATGAGGAGGGCATATCTGCAGAAACTCAAGAAAGACAAAAGGTAGTGAATAAGATTAGCTGAACTGCAGAGGGAGGAGAGTGTGAAACTGGCCTTCACCCACAGAGCGAGACCAGAATCATACTTCCAGCGTGGAGTCCCCTGCTCCATCTGCCAAACATACAGGTGGGCAGAAGTGGCACTAGAAGAATTCCCACAGGCTTTAGCCCAAAGATATTCCCTAGGTGGGGCACTCCAGGGGTGGTGAGGGGCTGAAACTGCCTAGGATCCACTAGATCAGGGGTAGGCCGGATGCGGCCCAATCGCCTTCTCAATCCGGCCCGCGGACAGTATGGGAATCAGCGTGTTTTCACATGAGTAGAATGTGTGCTTTCATTTAAAATGCATCTCTGGGTTATTTGTGGGGTATAGGAATTCGTTTATTTTCCCCAAAAAATATAGTCCGGCCCCCCACGTGGTCTGAGGGACGGTGGACCGGCCCATGGCTGAAAAAGGTTGCTGACCCCTGCACTAGATCCTGAGACAGCCCCAATAATATGATGATGATGATAATAGTAATTTTATTATTTATACCCTGCCCATCTGGCTGGGTTTCCCCAGCCACTCCGGGCGGCTTACAGAATATATAAAACATAACAAAGCATCAAACATTATTAACATCCTGATACAGGGTCTGATTGCTACAGCACCTTCAAGGTGGTTTGTTGGGGTTTGGGACTACTCCATTTACCAATCTCTCAATCTCAGGCTGTAAGTATAATGTTGGGAGACATTGCAGGACCATTCTACAAGGTGCTGTAATGATTGCTAAGATGATGCACATGAAATACTTTCCAAGATTTTGGGAAATGCTTTATAATTTTGTATATCTAATAACAGAATCATGCCAAGTAATATCTATGATGTTCTGCCAGCAGAGCACATTGCACTTGAACAAGCTGGTGAAATTGCCATTCTTCTTGTTGAATTAGCGATGGTTTCATCTGAAAACCACCTACAGCCAATTGCCAGAGTTTCATCCAACGCCAGACACCCTTTTCTCAGGTTCCTTTCTAAAATACTCATCCCCAAATAGTTTGCACGATTTTGAATGAAAATAGAAATCTAGATGAGATAGAAATGGATTATAATAAGGAGCTGTCCAAAAAAATTTAATCCAGGAACCATATCAATATTTTGAAAGTGCAACCTGTGTATCATCAGCTAGGAGCTGGATGAGTAAAGATGCTATCTCCCATTCAATGGCCAGCCCCTTTGGGGAGGCCATCAAGTTTATGTCATATATTGGGAACTTAGAGATTGGATTACTGAAATGCACTTGGAGTTTCCCTTGTTCTTGATGTCGAAGCTCTGAGTGTTTGGTTTCTAACAGTCAAGCAGTATATAAATTGTATGAAACAAATAAATATGTACCAGAAAGAGTAGGCATGTTCACTGATGCTATTTATGTGTGTGTGAATGCATGTGCGTTTATTTTGCACCCCTCAAAATAAAAACAAAATCCTGTGATTGGTCATGGCTGCAGAACAGCTAACTGGCTACAATGCTGCAGAGAGACTCTATCGTGTGTTTCTTAATCCAAGGAGAAAAGCAATACAAACATAGTGATGTAGACATTGCTCCCATCTTTATTTGAATTTCTGATGGGCTTTGGCAGGCCTTAGGCGGCTGGACTGGTCAAAAATAGGCATTTGGAATTCTCTTGGGGGCAGGAGCAGATAGGCAGATAGACTGGAAGGGGCACACAGCTCTTCTGCAATCAGGGCTAACTTAGAAGTACGCCTGCCTGAGCTCAGTGACGTTTGCTGCCAAGCATTTATAGGGCTGCATTTGTAACTAAGCATACTTGTCTCTGTTTAGCATGAATCATGCTATCCAGTCTTGCCGGTTATAGCAGTTCACCATATTTCCACAGGATGGCAGCATAGATTGATAGATATAGGCCTCACACTATTTGTGTACTAAAAATGATATTCCTGTGTAGCTTCTATTGCCATTTCTTAAGGGCTTCGGCTTTTTGATTGTTTGTTTTTGTTTTTCAAAAAGAGTGAGGCCTCTACAACCTGTTACCAAAACAAAATAAATTGAGGATCCCTTTTCCCGCTTATAGCGACAGGGAGACAGTGCCTTCTGGCCAGTTGAAGACAGGCACAGCAATGGCAGAGCTGGTAAAACGCAGATTTTTCCCTATCAGTTGCTCAAACTTCTCACAGTTTTTACACCTTGCCTGCAGTTTACTAAGCAGAATTATAAAAAGGTTCATCAAAGTTTTCCCATTTTCATGAAAGTAACTTTTTGCTACAGCATGGAACCTTCTCCAGACTTTGACACTGGGTTGTAACAATCCTGGCTCTGAACAGTGATAATAATAATAAACCAGTGTGTTTCTTACTAAAAAAAAAAAAAGGAATAAAACCCATTCCTGATACATCCTAGTTAAATCCACTATCTAGTACAGACATCAATTTAATTGTAATTACTCAAGCAACCTAAAAAAAACAACCCCTTTTAGCAAACCTTACAATTTATAAAGAAAACCTGAAGAACAGCTTCAGTTAAACACTTTAAAGTCCCACAGATAGCAACAGCAGTTCCACAAATGCTTAACTCTCCTGCAGAAATCAGGCATACAACACACGCCTGTGCAAGTTTGCTCAGAAGTAAGTTTCACTGTGTCCAGTGGGGCTTATTCCAAGCAGGAGTGCACAGGACTGCAGCCTCACAGACCTACTCAGAAACCCAATAATTTAAATGGACTTTAGTCTCAGGTAAGGTGTACAGGATTGCAGCCATAGCAAAATCTAAGTAGCGCAGTGCAAAAGGAAGTTGTTAAAAGTAGATAGGTGACAGCTGGATTTTCATACTTAAGTTTTCAAACCTGAGTTTGAAACACAATGTTTTGGGGGAGGAAAATGATGCCTTTTAAACCAAATGTAAAATTCGAGTTTGCTGATTATTCTACTCCAAACAAAATTCCTTTGAAAACCAGTGGATCGGACAGGACTAACTCAAGTCCAATTGTTCTCAATGGGATTCATACCCAACTTTAGCTAGATCAGAACCCGTGGGAGGAAAATGCGGAAGGTCAGCAATTTAACTCAACTTGCTTTCAGGGAAAGATTTCATTAGACAATCCCTTCTATCATAGCAACCTGCCACATACCATTTCCTATACGCAACACTAAATCAGTTTTACAAACAGAGCTTTTATTATATAAATAGCTGACAGGATATTCTTCTTACTTATACCAGAAAAAAATAATAATATAAAAATCCAACACACTTGTTGCACGTTGCTCTTGGGGAATTAAGTTTCTCTGGCACAGAATTCGGTTTCAGTGAAGTCTTCAACTCTCCCAGGAAAGGAATCCAAGCAAGCTGCCAAACAGCTACAGATCTGCACACACAAAAGAAAGAGTTATATTTGCAGTAGTTTATTTTTTAAAACAGCAGCAGTCTTCCCATGTGGGTGCCTCGGGACATCTGTGGGAAGGGCCACAGCTCAGGGGCAGATCATCTGATTAGCACCCAGGTCACTCCAGGAAATCCTGGGAACATCTGGAGAGTCACTGTTAGTCAATGCAGACAATACTGAGACAGGTGTACTAATGGTCTGACTCAATGCAAAGCAGCTTCCTATATTCCTGTTAGGACTGTGTGATTCACCAGGTCATAACACACCTTAGGATGGAACTTCATGTTCCACTACCACTTCATATATTGGGATCTGCAAAGTGGTGCCAAGAGGATATGATCTGCAGAGGAGAATCAGCAGTGGGGGTGGGGGTAGATGTTGGGGAATCCTCTACTTGGTATTCCCCCCCCCCTTGCAGCTGCTTCTCAGCCAACTTGTCCCCTGCTAGGGTTAATGATCCATTTTTTGAGATGGGCAGCCACAAAACAGACCTGCATATACCACGTACCACTCTATTTTAAATTGCATTTTAACCTGTATTTTAAAGAGGGTTCCCCCACCCCATTATGTTTTTACTGTGATTTTATTGGTGTTAGCCGCCCTGAGCCCGGCTCTGGCCGGGAAGGGCGGAGTATAAATAAAATTATTTATTTATTTATTTATTTATTTATTTATTTTCATCATTATCATCATCATCATCATCATCTGAGAATAGGTGGGTGGCCCGTAAGCTACAATCTTGTACAAAAGAGCTTGTGAGAGGGCAGGCAAAAGGTGTATGCCTTTGAAAAATGTTTACAGTTTAAGGAAAGCTTTAATCCCTTCTAACTGTAATTTTGCAAAGTTTTATATTTATTATTATTATTTATTACATTTTTATTCCACCCTTCACCCGAGGATCACAGGGCACAACATAAAAATACAAAATGAGAACACCAAATACATAATAAAACGAAAACAAACCAGTAACTCCCCTACAAACGCATTTAAAAGGCCATAGAATGTTCAATCAGCCAAAGGCCTAGTTATAGAGAAATGTTTTGCCTGGCATGTAATGAGCCTCCCTGGAGGCGCATTCCACAAATGGGGAGCCACCACAGAAAAAGCCCATTCTCTGCCCCCGGGGCCTCTTGTGGAGGGACCACCTAAGGAAGGGCCTCAGATTAGTACTGCAGGGCCCAGGTTGATTCACAGTGTATGGCTCTCATGGTACCGGTACTTCTTTGTTTTGTCGATGTACAGTTCCCACCAGTCCCAGCCAGTATTGGCTAGAGCAGATGGGAGTTGTAGTCTGAAATATCTGGAGGGCACCGGGTTACTGAAGGCTGCTTTACACACATAGTGGTGAATGGTGTCAGACAAGAAACACTTCAAGCATTCTTTCCAGTCAGAGCATACCTCTTAAGACGTTTCAGTTTTCTTTTTTCTCTTCCCTTTTCAGCTTCTCCTCCTGTTCTTTTTTCATTTTCTCCTCAAGCCTTTTCCTCTGGTACATTTTTGCCCCAGCAAATGCTAAGCAAAGGATTAATGTTTTAGCTGCTAAAATGTACATTAGCAGTGGGAAATTTTCCAGTGCCTAAAATGGAAACAACAACAACACATACACACGTTTTTTTAAACTGTCATCTGCTGTAGTTCAAGACATGTGAAATTCTTTTCTGGTAAGTGGCAAGAGAGGCTCGCGTGCACCAAACCCACAGGAATGGAGATATTATCTGTCTAATGGCAGGACTAGGAAAGGGCACAGACATAGAGCATAAGACCAGAGAGCCTAAAGCATCCATTCATCCACTGAGACAAACTGTAGTCTATCAGCAGCTGAAAAAACAACTTGGGTGCAAAACAAACAAACAAACAAACAAAAACCAACAGCATTGCATGCAGTAAATAATTGTATTTTATTTTTACTGTTGATGAAAATATTAAATTATAAGACTTTTAACTTGTTTCTCAACTGCTGGCTGACTACACTTGCACAGCAATGAATTCACATGATAGAAAAATGCAGGTATTTGAGGATGCAAGTATATGTTCCTGTTAAACCGAGGATTGTTAAACAGAGTCATCCATCCACACAAAACATGCAGAACTATTTCTTCCTTAGCTCTTTGGTTTAGAAAGCAGCATGCAAGGTTTTACAAATTAAGGGTCCTCACCTTCCAGTTCATTAGCCACATTTTGATTCAGCAACAATGTCAAGGCTTACACTTCAGGCAGAAGCAAACGGTGCTGGTCAGATTTATGAGAAACGAGTGGAGTAAAAAAAGCCACCTGAAAAATAAGATATTCAGATAGTTTATTTGTGCCTCTGAAATATATGAGAAACTGCTGGAGGAAGGATCACCTGACAAAAATATCCAGCCAATCTGTCCTAAGATATAATAAGAAGTGTTGACTATATAGTTGTGTAGGACGTTCACGGCTCCTGCTGCTTAGACAGATACAGAACTTTCAAGAAAGCTCTCACGGTGTCTGAATGGGAGATGTTTATCGGCTGAGTGACAGGAACAGCAACCAGTTGGAGTGTAATGAAAGCAGAGAATTGACTGGTTGGAGACAGGTGCCAGAGCTGTACAGGGCAATCCCTTTCCACCTGTTGAAAATTCCAGAAACTATTCAGCTAAAAAAGCCACACTGGCTGCACTGTGAGCTTGTTAATTGTGACAAAGTCCTAATAAAAGCAATGGGAGTTAATAGCACAATCCTATACAAGTCTACTTAGAAGTAAATCCCACAATGTTTAATGGCGCTTTCTCCCAAGTAAGTGGATCTATGAACGAACTTCAGGGGAAGGGCAACTGGTACCAACAGGAGGAAGTCATGACTAACTTTCGGGTCATGGTTTGGTAGTTTTCTGTGGAATAAATACATTAAAGTTCTAACAGTAGAAATTCAAGGTCTAAGAGTCAGCAAGGGGGAAACAACAAGTATGGGTGATTGTGTGGTGGTGCATCTCATTCCTCTAGTGCAACAAACAGGAGAAAATGGACTGTGAGGTCTATCGTTGGCATCCGTCTGAGAGGCAATTAAGAGTGTGGAGAATTAGGTGTGGGAATGAGGAACCCCTATAAACCAAGCGCAAGACTCTCAGAACTTGAACATTCAGTACCAGAATTGATCCCGTTTTAATGCCAAATAAATGAAAGTATTCCTTCCACATGAAACTATAACGCCAGATAAAACATAAGGAAACCAAGCCAGTTAAGATTCCACAGAAAGTTGACTGTATTTTATTTATTGCTACTGAAGGCAGATTTAGTCTATATATTCAGCATAAAGTATTCCAGTCAGCCTGGGACTACGGTATATTCAGATTGCATTCAGGAATATTCATTCAGATTGCAGCCAGGGTATTGTATATTTGAATGTCCTTCCTCTACATACAAAGTGGGCATATTAAGAAAATCCTTGTGCTAACTTTGGGAGGTACAGTTCCCATGTATAGGAGGTATCTAATGTGGGGAAGCATTCAAACATGTGCCCACTCAACTGCACAGATCCATAGAACTGGCACTTCTACAAGTGCTGCATAATGATAGCTTTGCACTTGCAAGAAATTGATCTTTAAGTGTGGAAGCATGTACTCTCTGGAACTCCCTGGCCATTGATAACAGGCAGACACCTTTACCATGTTGTTTTTGGCACCTGCTAAAAACTTTTCTGTTCCAGCAAGTCTACCCAGGCATATGATTTAAGTATGTATAATTTAAAATGACTGATTTGGCCCCGATCCACTAGCTTGGCTAGATGGTGTACTAAAGGGTCTCCAGATTTGGTATATTAACCATCAAGATGCCCACAAGATGCCTGGGGGCCAAAAACTGACCTTCCCCATCTGTTTTAGTGGCTTGGCTGAATTTGTTTGGCTCTAACAGTGGAGGAGAGAAATGAAAGAGCAGCAGAAGAAGAAGTTAAAGGCTAGGGAATCCAAAACCACTCTGTGTGTATGGAACAAAATAGGAAAAATAAATAATGGAAGCTCAGGAAAAACAGAAAATCAGGCCCCAGAAGCAACATCCAGGCTATTAAACTTGAAAAGTATTTCTGTCAGTGTTCCAGAGTCTTCATTTTTTAATGAGACCAGAAACATTTTCCTCTCACACTTCCCCCAGCATGCATGATTTTTTCATCCCAGATAAAAAATCAGCAGTGCTTTTATTAAAATAAAATGCCAGTAATGGGAGGGGGAAATAATTTTCTCTTTACTTTTCTGATTTTGTTCAACAGTGAAGTGTTTTTATTTGATTCAGAACCTTTTCATGGACCTTACTCCCCCAAATTTCTATCCAATTAACAATTTGATGCTTACCACCTATTTGGAAGTACGTAACTCCTAGACTTCAGGGAAATCTACTTCCAAGTAAGTGTGCTTAGGACTACAGTTGCAGCATGCACATTTATTCTGAAATCTTGTCTTCTATGTCCGTTTCAAGTACCCACTGTGCAAGATGACTTGTAATTTCCAGTACCTTCTCTCTACAGCTTACACTGCTTCTTATACTGTTTTCACCTAGCCCTAGGCAGAAAACAAGAGTTGAAAAAAGCTGTGTGTCGGATAAGCAAGATCCTCCACTTGATATGTTAACAGAAGCATGAATTCTTTACACTGATATCAGCAGCTTAAAGAGAAACCTTACGTGTTCTGTGTTCAAGGTTAAGTACTATCTTGAAAGCCCTGGTATCGTGTTTGTTTCCCCACTAAAAAGTCAGATAAAGTGTAGATACAAGTAATCTGTACCCCATTATGGTTTGTTGTCCCCAAGCTATACATACAGTCTCTCTCAGCAAAAGGAGACCAGACTTAGTGTCTGGGCTTACTATATAATCTGAGATAAAAATGCTGAATAATATAATAAATTATAACAGCCAGTCACCCTATTTCTCTCTTACAGATTCCAGCTGGGTGAATCAGGAGAGTTAAAACCTCACATGACATGCAACAATAAGGTTCATGTGTCAGACTAAAAATCTGCCTGCAGATGCATGTAGTTAACCTGCTATTGGTGCTTTAAATAAATAAAAGGTGGGGAGGGGGGAGAGAACAGCTTTTGGGAAGAACAATTTAGGGCAGCCTTTCTCAACCTTGGCTCCCCAGCTGTTGTTGGACTACAACTCCCATAATGCCTGACTGCTGGTCTTGATAGTTGGGGATGATGGGAGTTGTAGTCCAACAACAGCTGGGGACAGAAAGTCGAGAAAGGCTGATTTAGGTTTGTGCCTTGGGGAACAATGAAGTTGTTGGTTGTTTCTCCCAGTGCCATCTCAGAGTTCGTTCTCTCCTAGCTGTTCACATCAGTACAGCTTCATTAGTGTTAAATTTGTTTGTTTGTGCACACACCAGCGATTGTCAACAGGGCAGGCCAAATCCTTATTCCACAAGCCTACCTGTCAATCGCCTGATGTCATTATGACACACTTCAAAAGGAAGGCCATGACTTTACCTGCCTTCCACCTGATGTCAGAGTGGGGTAGATCAGTGCGGTTTGGGGAAAATAGCCTCATGGACCAAAGGTTCTCCACCGCTGCTATATGTCTGCTTATCTGAAGAATATTGCAACTGTTCTTTTCACACTGACACCAACGCGAAAGTTGCAAATTGCTTACGTGGCACTGAGATGTGCCAGTGAGGTCCTCGTGTCTGTTCAAGTATATCTTTACAATAACCAGTGGTAGAGCCTTCTTGCTTGTGGCACTGAACCTGTGGAATCACTTTCCCTCTGCTAGAAGATAGGCCCCAACAGTGATGTTACTGTAATTTTAATAAAATGTATTATTATGAAATTATATTATTATGTATTACTATGAAATTGCCTTGTGTGTTTTTTTTAATGAGAGGCAGTATGAAAATATTTTAAATAAATAAAATACATAAGCATACAATACTTAAATAGATTGGGAAACCAATCCATTAACTGGTCATGTTCACAACTAGCCAACTAAATGCCCTTATGCAGATAGAAACTTTTTCAACAGCATCAGAGCAGCATAGGATACCAAAGGCAAGAGTGAAGCTTTCTTCTCCCTAGCTCTGTAAATTCTGAGTGCAAAAAGACGCACTTCCTCGCCTGCATTATAGATAAGCATAGCTACATTTTAAATTGGGCTTTTGCATCTAATACAGAGATAGTCTGCAGACCAAATCATGGCTTAGCATGAGCACATGGCTCCCATAGAAGAGACTGTGGGTGCTTCGCTCTACTCAGACAAACTACAAGCTGTAACTAAGGTTATGGCTTATCTGGAGGAGATAAACCGTAAGTCTGAGTTAGGATGACACACTAAATCAAGGCAGCGTAGTAGCAGCAGACCAACCGAGAAGCAAGGAATCTGCAGTGACCTGTCCCGGAACTCTCACGCTTGTGCAAATTATGCAAGCAGGGGGAAAAAGAGATTTTCAGTCATGCCGCTTTTAATGTGCATTGTACAATCTGATCCTATGCATGCTCGCTGAAGTAACGTGTCTCAGATTTCACCGGAGCTTACTTGCAAGTAAAGGTTCAGAGAATTAAAGGCATCGCTGCTCAAAAGTGCAGAACGACTGTAAACGTAATAGCCATTTGACGACCATGATTCTTTTAAGAAGGTCAAAATATTGAAAACAAGGCCCACAACGCCATCAGCTTCCATGAGTTATTAAAGTTAACATTTAAAAGAAAAACTATTACAAACAATCCTAGCAACGCCACGCATTTTGTGATTTAAAATCCACACTACCTTACAATCAGCCATTCAACACAGGAAAAGGCTACAAACTACAAGTCCCAGAAGGCTTTGCTGTCTGAAAATACGTCACACAGCGCGTCAATAATTTAAAACTAGATGTTAACCCTTTCATCCCTTGTCCTGCGGGGAGAAAGCTGCGTGAGTCAAGCAGCTGTGCTCACAAGCGATGTAACTAGGGAAATTTCTCGGTATGAGAGTGAAGTATGTTAATGAATAAGTAATATATGAAGATACCCGTTTTACTGTTTTCTTGGGAGTGACTATACAACTGTTGGATATGCAAGACAGCTTATTCAGAGAGGAATTAGTACTTCCCTCCATTCCCTCCCCTGGTCCTTTTATATTATCTTAATTTATACATGTCAGTAATTTCATTATCTTTAATTAGCTCCAAATTTAAAGGAAAGTCGAGGGAGCTGAGTAATCCCAAAATGTGGATTTAATATAGCGTGAAAATACTTTTCCCCCTTTCTTTTCTTTTGTGTGTGTGGTTTATTCTTTTATACCTATGTGATGATAATGTTTAATTGTGGAAATTAATTTTTAAAAAACCATTAAAAATACCAGAGAGGAATTAGTACTTTCGTTGATTCAAAATGTTGTGATACACATTCTGATATAATAAAGCCAGTTCAAATATAAAATGAAAATGCTAAATGGCAAAGACCCTAGCAGGAGTAGTAAGATAATAGGGCTGAAATTCAATTTTCAGCATTTTGAACAAAGCTTAAGGGTAGCATGCAGAAAAGTGCATTTGTGCGTTTTGCAGTAAGGCATCTATGGTCACCAGGAATGTGACTGCAGCTAATTAGAATTTTTGGGATACTAAAATCTTCAAAATTATCCATGACAAATAGATGAGTCCACTGACCTGGGCGTCTGGGACAGAATCAGCCTCTGTCACCCTAAAGGTTTATAAATGCTAATAATGATGTTCATAATAATTCTTAGGAAAAGTAGAGAGCCCACAACACTACTAAGAGGCAAGAATGAATGAATGAATATATATATATTATATATATATATATATATATATATATATCATTTGTTTATTTATGCAATTATTTCTGCCCTGCCTTTTGGCTTCATAGCAGCTGACATAATCAATTTAAAACATAACGTATAAATGAAACAATCAAATGTACAGAGTGCTGAAATCAACATGCACAGATTCATTAAAGAAGGCTATATTGAGGCAGAACGTTGCACGTTCTGCTTCTGATGTTCATGATATGATGATGAGTGAAAGCGGCCACGATTCCTTTGCAAACAGGTTTGTAGGATGTCCTGATCTTGTTACTATGATCAGGAAATACCAGTCTCTGAATATGAAGTAGCACAATGGACTGTAAATGGAACTGTGTAAGTTTGATGAGGACTGTGCCCCTTGGTTCAGCTTCAATTTTTTGCATCCGTGGAGGCCCCCCATGCATTTTAGAACCCTGCATAATTAGGGTTCTGAGATATGCAGGGGGGGAGCCTTTGTGGAAGAAAAAAGCCTCCCCATTTCAGGCAGTTGTATTCCATAATTTGGAAGGCAACAGAAGGAAGCAGTTTAGCTAGGACCCTCATTCCTGCTTGTCCTGCCTTATGTGATTGCTAACACCTTAAAAGGGTTCTAAAGGTTAGGTAGGTTGGTTGAAACAGATGAAAACAGGGAAGCTGGCTGAAAAGATTATTGTGGTGGCTGGATGACTTCTCCCATCTTGTTTAGTAAAGCAGTGGCAACATTTTTTGTAGTTTTCACTGAGTCATTCAGTCACTTAAAGAGTCTCAAAGCTGCTACTGCCCGCAACCTTAAAAACAAACAAGGTTCTTCCTACATTAGTCATGTAGACTTCAAAATACATACACATTTGCCTGGAAGTATTTGCTGATGATGGAGTTGCACTCTACAATATCTGGAGAGCACCCTGTTTGGGAAGACTCGTTTCTGTACAATATGATATTGTTTAGCATTTATGATTTTTAAAGGTAAAATGACTTAAAATAACACACACACACACAGAGAGAGAGAATTCTCCAGTACTACTGTAGCACCCTGCTTGTGGTTAACGCTTAGCTGGAATGAAATATTCAACGCAGCAATAGAGAAATTAAAATAATAATTTATTTGTCAGACAAATAAATGAGAGACACAGTGGTATATGGATACCAAAGCTCTGCCCACTCCAGCCCTGATGGCCAGCACTTATATTTCCTCAGCCCAGCCCCCTTGCTCCTCCTTTGGCTGCCTCTGTCCAATCAGCCTGGTTGAAATTCCTATTGGCTGTTTGCTAGAACCAATCATAAAAGATACTCCCATTTCCTATTACCTTTTATGGGAGACAAAGAGCTATATTTCCTTCTATCCATAAATGGCAGACAAGTAGCCATATATCTTACATTTGCCTCGACCAGGCACCTTAATTATCAGATCATCTTTGCCCTATTGCCCTATTGCCCTATTGCCCTATTCACTCCAAAACAGATGGCTAATGGTTTTGATTTTTTATCTTAAACAGAGATCTTGGGTTCACCTTCTCACACACCATCAATGAAATAAGAATCTAACATAAGAATCTAACATTTCTTACTTTCTAGATCCTTTGCATAATTACATTTAAGCCAATATATTTCATACATAACATATATAGATTTTTAGAAGAAAAGGCCTTTTCAAAGTAACAAGGAACTTAATAAAAACAGTTTCCAAAAGCAACCCCTTAAATTTACACCCCCCTTTCAAGCCAGCTGCTGTTTCTATTAGCTCTTGCCCTTTAACCTTAGGAAGATATGGCTCAAGTCTAATGGGAGGCACATGGGATAAATTTTCTGTTAAACAATAAATTTCACTATTTACCAACTCTTAATTAGTGTTTTTTGCAGCTTGATTGTATTCTGTAATTTGTATGGTCAGTGTGACCTTTTGCTCCCAGCCTGTAATTTCCTTTTACGACCCTGAGGCACTGCTATAGATCAGAGGGGCCCTGTTTAGGAAGATAAACATCTGCCAAAGTACTTAGCCAGCTGGTTTCTGCCTGGCATGAGAGATACAAACATTTGCAAATATATTTTTTAAGCTCATTTTAAAATGCAGACCTTGATCTGATGCCTCACTACTTCATTCAGGTAGTGGCAATTTCTCCCACAGATCAAGCAGTCTGGGTGCTCGCTTGATCCTTTGCACCAGTATTTTCATGGATGGTGCATTTAACGTCATGGTGGAGCAGCGTCCGGTTTTTGAGCTTGTTGCCCCAGTCATCCACAATGTATTGATGATAAGGGTCATCAGAGTGCTCTCGTCTCTTTGATTTCACGGTGCTCACTAAGATCATCACAACAATGAAGGAGAAAATCCCAATCATCACCATGAGGTACATAATGACATAATTTAAGTTCTCAGCGTCAAGTGTTGCTTGCAACGTATTTTCTTCAATTGTGGTATTTCTTCGCCAGCTATTCATGTAATCAAGGAATGTCTTCCTGAAAGTATCTTCCAGAGCCTTTGTGAAGTTCTGTAAGGTGGCCATATTTCCAGTGAACTGTCATTAAACACAAAAGCATGCATCAGTCATCTTCCTACAGGAGAATCATACATTTGCTACTCTCTTGGGAGAAGGGCATACTGGGGCATTATTAAGGGGTGCCCCAAGTCCCAGGTCTTTTGTGGTGCGGCTAATTGCTCTTGTCGCTTTCCCTTTCTTAAACTTATTATTTTTTAAAAAAACTTTGCTGATAAGGTGGCTACTGGGTATAGTGCTGCTGAAATGCCAGCTATTCGCCATCTTAATTTTCCAGAGGCATCAATATATAAAAACTAACATATGCAATTGTGTGTCAAGGGTGTGTGACCCAAGTCCTTTAAGCATCTAGCAACACCCCAGGGGCATATGAAATTCTCTTCAGCAGGCAGAGACAAACTCTGGCCCTCCAGATGTTTGGGACTACAATTCCCATCACCCCTAGCTAACAGGACCAGTGGTCAGGGATGATGGGAATTGTAGTCCCAAACATCTGGAGGGCCGGAGTTTGCCAATGCCTGCTCTTCAGTAGAAGGAATCACAGAAATGAAAATTTGTGTAGCTTTGCTGATACTATGTATGGAACAGAAATTACGTAGTGAGGGGCAGACTAGAATCACTGGGATTCTGCTTTGTAAACTCAAAAGCACATTGGGTCACAGAAATACCAAGTTATGTTGAATTAGGCATAAAGAGGCAGTTGTCTTGAAAGCTTATTAATTAGTTCCTTCTCATTCTTCTTGTACTTTGAACTTGAAATGCACTTGTGATTTTAAAAAGTCTAAGAGCAAAAATAATAATTGTTGAATGCATAGGAAGAAAGATTTAGATAATCTTATTGCAAGCATTAGAGAGGATCAGTATTAAGTAGGAAGTTGGGGATTTGATTCATGCTGGGTTTGGTTATCACTCAGTACATCAAATGTTGTCTCAATACAAATATAGAAGATCAGTTTACATAATAAAGTATATAATTATAGTGACAAATTAGGATTCATAAGATAAAAGGTAAAGGTACCCCTGCCCGTACGGACCAGTCTTGACAGACTCTAGGGTTGTGCGCCCATCTCACTCAAGAGGCCGGGGGCCAGCGCTGTCCGGAGACACTTCCGGGTCACGTGGCCAGCGTGACAAGCTGCATCTGGCGAGCCAGCGCAGCACACGGAAACGCCGTTTACCTTCCCGCTAGTAAGCGGTCCCTATTTATCTACTTGCACCCGGGGGTGCTTTCGAACTGCTAGGTTGGCAGGTGCTGGGACCGAGCAACGGGAGCACACCCCGCCGCGGGGATTCGAACCGCCAACCTTTCGATCGGCAAGCCCTAGGCGCTGAGGCTTTTACCGACAGTGCCACCCGCGTCCCTTATAAAGTATATAATTATATAAGTATATAATTATAAAGTATATAATTATAGGGACAAATTAGGATTCATAAGATAGGCATGTATTAATGAATGATCCTGGTGAACAAGATTCTGCTGAAATATTATGATTAAAAGATGACACAACTTTAACTGATGAAGCATGGCATTTAGTTACAGGCTACATACACACTATGTATATCTTTAAAGCACATTTAAAATGCTTTCTTTCCCACAAAGAATTCTGAGCACTGAAATTTACCCCTCACAGATGGAACATTTCCCAGCAACCCTTAACAAATTACAGTGCCCAGAATTCTTTGAGGGAATGTGGGGAATGTGCTTTTAAGGTATAGTGTGCCTGCTACCCTAGGCTATAAGGTAAGCGTCTCTGCTTCAAATTTCATGCCAGTTTTTAAGGAGGGGGCCAAGTATCATTACTGCCATAATGTGGACTTGGCTTCATTCTACCTTATGACCTTGTGTATATTAATCAGATTATATATGCATTTTAAGCTCTTGGAGAAAGTGTTTGATCCCAACACAAATCCCTTCCAGGCTTCTCAATCACCCCACACGACAAGAGATCTGCATGCCCCGCTGGCACAGAGGACCTGATGACCTGCATGATTAAAAGTAACTCTACCTGTCCATTGAACAGTAGCACAGGGATGCCTTCTGGTGCCTGAACTACTTTATGCACACCCTGTATCAGCACTGGGCATAGTGTCGGAATGTGGTGTTAATCATTGCCACCTATAGAAAATTGGCTTTAAAAATAGGTGTAAGCCAGTTTCTGTTCTAGGCACATGGATTTTAAACTATAACATGTGAGTAGGGCGCTGCAATTCATTCTGGCTGTCTTAACATGCAGAAGTTGTAGAATGTCACTTAATCATTCTTGCAGTACAGTGGTACCTTGGGTTACATACGCTTCAGGTTACATACGCTTCAGGTTACATACGCTTCAGGTTACAGACTCCGCTAACCCAGAAATAGTGCTTCAGGTTAAGAACTTTGCTTCAGGATGAGAACAGAAATCGTGCTCCGGTGGCGCCGCAGCAGCAGGAGGCCCCATTAGCTAAAGTGGTGCTTCAGGTTAAGAACAGTTTCAGGTTAAGAACGGACCTCCGGAACGCATTAAGTACTTAATCCGAGGTACCACTGTAATATGATTCTGCTATCTAGGAGGCTTTTTTTAAAGAAGCCATAAACAACATAACATTGCATATTGCATTTTTCAAAATGTCATCCAATCTAATTATAGCTTAAATATTTCTAGCGATTGTTGGTCAGAATTAGGGTATTGTTTCTGATTTAATCATTCTGTCCCCAGCCTATAACAATTTACTTTTTGGCTATTTGATCTTATTATGCCTTCATTGGTACATATACTTTGCCTACATATACGAAAGCACTTCTACGTTTATTTTTAAGTTCTGTACTTATTCATCTTATGTATTCTGGCTTCACATCTCAAAGCATTTCTCATTTTCACATCAGTTCCTTTCTATCTGCTATTTTTCCTGTTTAATTTTAAATCAAAGCTTTAAAGGAAATCAGTCATTGTTACCAGAAACTTACCTCCTCTGTGCTTTTATATAAAGAAATTCACAGCAACAAAGATTTTACGTGAACAGTATCGTGATACTCTTGAATAGAACAGAGAAACCATCAGCTGGAAGAAAATTCCATCTTGTGCTGCTGAATAATTGCCTGGTACTGATCTAACTTTAAAGCAAATGTATTCTTACACCTAATCTCACTGGGAAGTTAAATATTGGCTGACACCCAACAGGTAACCTTCATGCTTGGTAGGGTACATAACAAACTTTTTCAACCTGTAAATCATTGTAATATAAAACTTTAAAGGAACAGTCATGGGTTTTTGTGGGGGTTTTTTACAGGAGAGTTACTCTGTACTGAACATTATGCTCAGTAAAGGCTATAATGATGGTATGGTTTGAAATTTAAATTGTTGCTTACTATAGCTTTAGTGGGAGTGAAGTAAAACTAGAAGTACTGTATCAAAAATAAAAATAAAAATGGGAGGAATTGGAAATCACCACACAATTTCATCCAAAATGCCCAAACTCATGTTGTAAGTGGGGGGGGGGGGAGCTTTATTTTCCCTTCCTAAAATCAATTATTTCTCCTCATCAGAGTTTTCCCCCACTGGCATCTCCTGAACTTCACAAACCATGGTAATATGGTCTTCATATTACACAGAACAGCCACATCTCCTTTTGCGCAAACGAAGTACAGAATAGTTTCTGTCTGCTAAGAAGATGGAGAAATGAAATATACTCGGAGTTGAGTGTTGATTTCATACTCTCTATTTCAGCTCATGGTAAACAGTGAGTGAGTGCTTATCCCCAAAACCTCTGGCTATATATACAGTCATACTTCGGGTTACAGACACTTCAGGTTGCACGATTTCGGGTTGCGGACTGCGCCGAACCCGGAAGTACCAGAACGGGTTACTTCCAGGTTTCGGCACATGTGCAGAAGCGCCAAATTGTGACCCACGTATGCACAGTCGCGGCACTACAGGTTGCAAATGTGCCTCCCACACAGATCACGTTCACAACCTGAGCATCCACTGTACATTATTTACACAATGGGTCCCGTGTGATTGGCTGGTTCAACTCCCCTCCTGGAGCCTGATTGGATTGTTCTTGCAGGCCAATCAGGTTGCTGATTTACTTCCTCCTGGAGCCGGATTGGGCGGCTCCTGCAGACCAATCAGGTTGCTGCCTTCTAGGATCCTACCTGCTGCCTATTGCTCTAGGATACAAGCTCAGTACATAACAAGAAATCATGGCAGCCAAACTTCCCAAAGGTGTTAAACTATCCCCTGGATGAACATAACTGACTTGTGACTGGCTGTCAAGCAGGACCCACAAGGCTTACTCAGACATACACCCCACTGTGTTTAATTTTGTCCATGGTTGATCCTGGCTCCCTAAAAAAAGCTCAACACAACTTTGGTCAATCCAATGGGTAGAACGCTGCCAGGTTTTTTTTATAGTGGGAGTATATCGCAGTCTCTTGGGAGCTGGATATGTCTGCTGTAGGGGATTGAAGCATGAGCAATGCCTGCTGAAATCTCAGAAAAGTAAACCTCTCACACCCTTGAACTGTGGCTCTGATTCAGATTAAGGACCTCTACACTTGGGTTTTAATTTTTAAAAACCGTGATGTCAGTTCAAGTGATACATTTGTAGTTCAGATTTCAATTACAGTAAATGAAGAAATAGTTTGAAACCATGAATACATCATTTGTGGAAAAACCCTCAAGTGGTTTGAAGGTGGAGCTTATAACCTGGCTATATATATAAGACCTTGGCAATGGGAAGTCCAGGGTCACATGTGTCTCTCTGAAGAGTAATGACTTGTCACCAGTTGCCAACCCCAAAACAAGAGACTATTGTAGCAAGAGGATTAACTAGCAAGCCTCTCTGGGATCATGGAGGGGAGCTTCATCCCCTTTCCAAAGTGACCCTTCCATAAAACCATTGAACAGGCCTCTATTTCTGTTCATCCCATAGCTTCCAGTCACATTCCCCTAACAATACATGTCTATTTCTCATCATTTTTCTGTACCCTGTTACTCTTCCAATGTATGACTTTTTGCAGGAAAAATGGATTGTCCACAGAATAGTTCAAAGACAATGACAACAATATTTTCACTCCCAGTGGTTTTTATTTATTCTTGGGGCACATGAATTTGGAGTTAAAAAACAAGGAAGAGGTTTGTGATATGGCTTCTCTTGTAAAGTTTATGTTGTACATGATCTTCATTTTAACAGCTTTCTTTCCTTAGTACAATATTGCAAAACGCATTGTTTGCATTTCCTTGTAACTTGGACTCATTTTAGGTGACTACATCATATAGCGAACATCAATTTTAGATACTTATTTTAGGTACAATATTTTTGTACGTAACTGTAGGTTTAGGGGTGTAAAAAGTCTGGAACCCAATTTGTGGGTGAGATGGGAACACTGGCAAAAAATACCTTGCCAAGCTCTGGTTTTGGTTTTTGAAAGTCAGTTTCATTAATGTTAAGTTGTGGGTGAACATATCAGATGACACAGCGATTCTTCAAACAGCTCTTGTTTATTCACAGGCCAGAACAGAACTGAACTGAAGGGTTCAGCCAGCCTGCTTATATAGAGCTCCACTAGAACACAACAGTAACCACTTTCTGTAACTATCCAATCACTGAACGTCACTTTCAATCCCTTATTTGCATATGTGGACCTGAGTGAAAACTATCTACAGTATCCCCCTGCTGGCCCAGTGTGAGAACTTCAGTACATAACAATTAAAGTCATTTGAATTTGTCAAATTAGTTTGTTCAGTTTAGGGAAGAAGGTACTTTAAAAATATGCTCCTACAGTTCCTACGGGCTCCTTTACTTTATTCTATTACAGTCTTATTTTTCCCACCTGCAAAGTGGAGAGCACTTACCTTCACATTTTCTTCCTCTATTACTTTCACTTAGACAAGCCCACCAAGAGACTACAGTTTTCAAGCCACTTCAGCTATAGTTTATTCATTGGGGCAATTCCAAAATAAGTGCTATGAGGCTCTCAGGCCCTCTGCATCCAGTAAACACTTCATCTGCATGTATTTATCATTACCTTCAACATCATTCTGTACATACCTGGATTTTCCCTGACTTGAATAGCTTATTAAATAAACTATTAATACATATGGAACATTAAGTTTTCTTTGTCCACAGTACAGATGATACAGGGTTCACAAGTAGGACCTAGTCTAGAAAACCATAGTGGGTTCTGCTGCTTAAGACCTTCAGGTACAGAATGAACTTGGGATTTAGGAACTTTTGTCAAATATCTTTTACATGCTGACCTTTTGGCTAGGGCTTCTAAGGGACCATGACTCAGAGAACAGACCTTTCAGAGCAAGGTTTGAGCATTGCTTTCCATAGCCTAAGGGAATCCCAAACAAGAGGAAGGAAAAGAACATCTTTGGCTCGTTCCCTTAGTCTCATGAGACAGGCCAGTTGTGGGATGGAGCTAATGTATAGTGCTCTGAGACATACGGTGGTACCTCGGGTTACAAACGCTTCAGGTTACAAACGCTTCAGGTTACAGACTCCGCTAACCCAGAAGTAGTACCTCAAGTTAAGAACTCTACCTCAGGATGAGAACAGAAATTGTGTGCCAGCGGCATGGCAGCAGCAGGAGGCCCCATTAGCTAAAGTGGTACCTCAGGTTAAGAACAGTTTCAGGTTAAGAACGGACTTCCAGAACGAATTAAGTACGTAACCAGAGGTACCACTGTACTCCAAAGCAGAATAGAGTAGTTCTACTACTTCCCTTGGGACGCGGGTGGCGCTGTGGTCTAAACCACAGAGCCTAGGGCTTGCCGATCAGAAGTTTGGCGGTTCGAATCCCCGCGACGGGGTGAGCTCCCGTTATTCGGTCCCAGCTCCTGCCCACCTAGCAGTTCGAAAGCATGTCAAGTGCAAGTAGATAAATAGGCACCTCTCTGGCGGGAAGGTAAACGGCATTTCCGTGCGCTGCTCTGGTTCGCCAGAAGCTTAGTCATGCTGGCCACATGACCTGGAAGCTGTCTGCGGACAAATACCAGCTCCCTCGGCCTATAGAGCGAGATGAGCGTGCAACCCCAGAGTCATCCGCAACTGGACCTAACGGTCAGGGGTACCTTTACCTTTACCTTTTACTACTTCCCTTGATCTGGACACTGTGTTTCTGTTGATGCAGCCTAGAATAGCATTAGCATCAGCAACTATGTAATTACTGATCAGTCAGCTTGAAATTGATACAGGAGACGTCCTTGCTGCTACTGTAATGACCTTCCAAGAGCAGGCAAAGTCCTTTGGCCCACAAACTGACTTGTAAATATGTTGAAATTGGATTTAAATGGTTGCTTTTATTAATGCTTTACCTAGTTCTGGAAGACCTAGCTGCAACACAGTGAGTTTTATTCCAGTCTAAAAACTGCCAGCAATGCAGGATCAACCCAAGGCCTGAAGTGATAACGCCAAGGTCACAGGTTCAATTCCCCATATGCATATTCCCGCATTGCAGGGGGTTGGACTAGAGGATCCTTAGGGTCCCTTCCAACTCTACAGTTCTATGATTCAAACAATATTTCTTTTTAGCTAAGCAGTCACAGCTCTTGAAACAAGTGCCATTTGCTTAGGTCTGTTTTTGTTTTTCCCTAAAGTTGGGAAACCCAAAATGGCTGTATTCTATATATACTCACAGAAAGCGGGTATACCGGTACTTGTTTTTAATATCGATACAATTTTTCTCTTTGTAATGATTACCAGAGTGACACGGTTTCACGGAACTACATAACTACATTCTGTAAAAACAACAAGAACTCATCAGCATTTACGCATAGCGTTCCAGTCCAGTAAATTCTGAGACTATCACAATTCACTCATTGTTTTTTCTCTTGGAAACTTTAAAAGTGAACCTGCCTAATTCGCACTTTCCAAGAATTGAAACGCAGCCTTGCTTTGAAATCTGTACATCTCCAAATTGTGCAATCAAATTCTCCAATCCATTAATTGTAGATACAAAAATGTGTGCATTTGTACATACAAAAACCCAGTACTCTTTTTCTGGGGGTACTCAATGGTATGCAGTACTGGCACCTTTTATTCTAGAAGAAAAGCACTGCAAAAGTGAATATAATGGGTACATTGTCCATAA